GAACTTTTGAAAACATCTAAATGGAATCCCGGAACTTTTGACGGTCATAAAGTGTGAGAAATTGGAACGAAAAAGTCCCGAGCCTCGGAGCTTTTGACGGACATGAAATAGGAGCAATGAAGGGAGGTTTTAAAAATCCATTGATCGGACGGTAGTCGGGAGCCCAGGGCTTTAGATTATGCAAGCTCCGTAGCTCTTTTCTTTTCCGTCGAGTGCCGATCTGATCGAGCTGATGGCCAAGCCAGGAACAAAGGGCTCGGTATTAATGAGCCTCCAGGCGGGAGGACCAAACGGGGCGTGGGCCCAGGCGAGAGGATCGATCCAGATATTTACGTCATCATGATCCGATGCCTCGTCCCAATCATTCATCATTCGTCATTCATCATCCACCGAAGGATTCACTTTCACTCCGGGGCCGGGGCGAGCCGCCCACAACCTCCGCAGCTCGGCGCCCGCCGTAAACGACAGGAAACGGGGGCATGATGACACTCTAATCGGGGCGGCAGTACTCCTAAGCTAAGGAAAAACGCCGTATGAACCTTCAGGCGTTGCCAAATTTCCTTTGAAAAAACACGAATTTTCTGGTAAACTCATGAATAGTTTCCCTCCAATTTTTCAGATAATTTTGCTCACCATTCCACCGAAAAGTCCTGAAAATTTCAAGGGAAAATGTTCCAAAATTTCCTCAGAAATTAGCATTTTATCGAAGGAAATATTGCAACTCTTGGATGTTCATACGACGTTTTTCCTTGGCACGGCAGAATACTCCTATGCTAAGGAAAAACGCCGTATGAGCCTTCAGACGTTGCCAAGTTTTCTTCGATGAAAACAGAATTTTCTGGGAAAATTGTGAATATTATTTAACAAAATTTTCAGACGATTTCGTGCGCAATTTAATCCAAAATATCTGAAAATTTCAAGGAAAAATATGCATGAATGTTGTCAGAAATACATGTTTTATCAAGGGTAATAAATTTGGCAACTCTCGAATGTGTTGAAAAAACACGACAAAAAACTTAGCAAGGCAGAATAATCCTATGCTAAGGAAAAACGCCGTATGACCCTTCAGGCGTTCCCAGATTTCCTTTGGTAAAACACGACTTTCCTGGTAAACTCATGAATATTTTTCTTCCAATTTCTCAGATCATTTTGTTCACAATTTACACCAAGTTCCTGAAAATATCAAGGAAAAGTATTCATGAATCTCCTTTAAAATGAACATTTTATCCGAGGAAAGTAGGCAATACTCTCAAATGCTCATGCGACGTTTTTCCTTAGCACGATAGAATGCTCCTTTGCTAAGAAAAAACGTCGTATAAACATTCGGACGTTGCCAGATGTCATCTGATAAAATGATTATCCTGGAGGAGAATTGTAAATATTTACCTTGGAATTTTCAGATACTTCACATTCTTTGTTCAGAAGAAAAAAATGTTCACAAGTTGCCCAGATAATTGATATTTTACCCAACAATTTGGCAACGTCCAAAGGCTCATACGGCGTTTTCTCTTAATACTGCAGGATAGATATCTACTGCAAACGAGGGATTGTTTACAGGCGTTTGCCCCCCCCCCCCCAAGGTGAATCTCTTGCATGAGTACGCGCACATTTAACTACATCCAACGAATGTTCCTAAAATACTGGTTTAATTTCATTTTTCGGCCAAACTCGGATTCGTTAAATAAGTAAGCACGTTTCAGCTACGTTTGTTCTTAAAAATCTCTTTCGTAAAATTTGAATCAGTTCAATTTCACGAAAGACATGTAGTCTTGGAATTTAAACACAGAGACAATAATATAATAGAGATCTCGCGCCAAAAGTCAAAGCAATGTAACCCGGCAATGTAAAAGAAAAGTTCAGCGGTCAACTCGACGTTTCGCTAAACGATTGACGTAGGTCGGGGTGAGAACTTTGCTAGGCGAGTTTTTGCAAGTTAGGTTAGAATCTCTAAACAAATCGCTCAACTCTTTGGTCATCAGTCATCATTACGTGATCTGAACGTTGACTTACGAAAGTAACTTTCACACCATATTATAACAGTGCGGAGTCTCTAAAACATACTGTCTCTGGATATTTGAAGCTTTCCTAGGGACAATCATAGGTTCGTCTGGAAAAGGATGTCCTGACCAAACGATAAATCTCATAAATTTCGTGCTCCATATACTTCATTCCGATTTTGAGTTTTTGTGGAGGAGGGGCCCCTGTCTTTTTGCCCACGACCAGTCAAATTTTGTCTTATATGTATATTTTTCGATTTTAAATGTTGGTGTTCGTGGTTCCTCCTCTCATTCTTAGAAACCCTAGAGTCCCTTTACAGAGAGCGTTGAGACAACGCGGCTTGTGGATGTCACAAACGGGAATAAGGATTACACAAATCGGACGTATTTTGTAATCTTTGATCGACCCATTCCCTAATTCCTGTCTCCGTTCCCTCTCTCATTCCATTTGTTCCTTGCCGTACCCTCGATTTCCCGGTCCATTCCAGTTTATAATCTTTGCAATTGGTGAAAATGTAATCTTCATTCCTGTTTGTGACACTGTGGAAGCCTTTTTAGCATTATTAGGCTTAGAAAAAGGTCGTAAGTTTATATTATTGTTATATTATAGGGCAACCCCTAGAGAGGGTATTTTAATATAGTATAAGCACTGTCCTCCCTCCCCACAATAGGAGGACAGTGATTATACAGTAAATATATATAAAAATGTATACGTATTTTTACGGGAAGCAATCAGACATTGAATCGCATTGTCTTTACTATTAGTTTACAGGGACTCTAAAAAACCCTATCGCGTGTATGTCACTTCGTCATCCTGCGGTCTAAAAATGTCGAATATTTTAGAAATCATTTTTTTAGGTGGAATTTTGCCCCAAGAATTTCTTCAAAGAACGTGGCAACGTTGCGTACGGGAGTCTGACCGATGGTGTCGAGAGGCTAACTGGCCGAACTACGGATGTGGCAGGTTTATCAACAACAATAATTAAGAGGGCAACTGTTGCTGGCCCCGAGCGAAACCGGGAAAAAGTGGGCAGACACACCGACTCATTCCTAGCCGCCACCATTTATTTCAACTTTCTTTCGCGATAACTTTGCCAATTTTCTATCGGCCACTACAAAATTTAACCCTAGTCTGACAGGCTCGGATCATTCAGACCTGAGTCTCCGTCTTCCGATTCGAAAGAGACAAAAGAAAGATGTAAGAAGAAGAAGAAGAAGAAGAAGAAGAAGAAGAAAAAGAAGAAGAAGAGGAGGAGGAGGAAGAAGGATAAAGAGAAAGATATGTAATCCCTTCCTTTTCTTCTTCCGTCTTCCACCTTTAACCTCTTTCTCTGCTTCCCTTCTTCCTGATGTTTTCACACCTTCTTTTACTTTTTATCCTTTTCTCCCTCATCATCTATTTATCTTTCACCTTCCTCCTTTTATTTTTCCTCACAGCTTTTAACCCGTAGACTCTTCCTTACTTCGCCGTGTTGTGATAAACAACAAAAGATTCTTCTAACGTCAGAAATTTTGGTTTAATAAAATGCAAATTGTCTGAGAAAATTGGGGTTTTTTTGCTTTCAATTTGATGAAAAATTAAATGAAGCACAATTAAAAATAGCGTTTTTGAGAATTTCAAGGAAAACCAGTCTCGAATTTTTCCAAACGTATACAATTCATCGGAGAAAATTGGCAACTTTCTAAGGCAAAAAAAAAACGTGCTTCCTCCGCAAAGCAGTAATCTGACATGATAATTATTTACTGCGCGAATCTGCTAAACACTAGTCACTTCACCCTGCTCTCGCACTTGTTTTGGTCCGATCGATTTTAACGTGAGAATATGACGCAAACATTATGTAATCGATACATTTTTCGCGTTAAAATTCAAATATCCCTCGAGTACATGTGCAGTGCATGTAAAATACACAATACTTAAGTCAAATATAAAGGCATTGACCTCCTGGTGGGCTCTCTGTTTCGGCTGGATTTAGCAGTGACTGCAAAGAGCGAGGCGGAATGGTAAACTCAATGATGCAACTATTCGAACTTATCGATCATGTTGGGAAGTATCTCACGAGTCTGAAGGCGCTTTATCATTCAAAATACGGGAGTAGAATGGAAATGCGCTAACGTACAGCCCGACCGTTCATCGCGAATGTGTGCTGTGTTGGGGTTGAACGAAATTACGATACATAGTGCAAAGATTATATGATTTCAATCGTTTCAGCGTTCGTTTCGTTTTTCAGGGTGTCTAGTTTTTTCATTTTAAGAAATCCTGATTTTTCCTGATTTTTGACTGCACTGGAAAAAAAAGTCACTTGGATCTAGAGTCCAGACTCTTAAAAATATTGACAAGAAAAAATACTCTCGAATCAATCGGATTTTTGCTTAAATCAAGAATCAAGCCTTTTAATTTAAAAGGATTTCCTTTTGATTCAAGCAAAAATCCGATTGAACCAAGCGTACTTCTTCTTGTCATTGTTTTCAAGAGCCTGGACTCTAGATCCAAGCGACTTTTTTCCCAGTGTGCTAAATCCTGATTTCATAATTTTATCAAATCCTAAAAAAAAAAATAGGCGAAGAAAAATTAGGCGAATGAAACTTCACAAAAATACCTCGATAAAAAAAAATCCGATCGGACGGCCGACTTTTCTTAAATCCTGATTTTACGACGGATTTTTCCTCAAATCCTGATGAAATCGATATAAAATCCTGATAAACCTCAAATCCTGATAAAATCGGGATAATCGGGAAAATCCTGATGCTAGACACCCTGAAAAAGCAAAAGTGGTGTTTCAGCAAAACTTTGTGGGACACCTCGATGTTTCAGTTTACTTCCGGCGTAGAATCACGTTAATAGATCACATTTCGACTCCTTCACGGAGTTGGACGTGGAGTTACGTTGTTGGTCGACCGGAGGCGGTACCGGAACCGGGGTCCGCGATGGCCGGCGGGCATGCGGCCACGGCCCGGGCCGGCTTCGTGATGATTGGTCGAGAGATAGGATGACTGGTGACTTACGGTGTACGACTCGGGCGGGTAGACGATGAAATGACGGAGCGTGAATCCGAACTCATTATCGCAGCGTTTCAGGAACAGCGATCGAGGGCCTCGCACCAGTCCCTCACGCCTCTCCGAGCTCTGAAACAGAAAGAAAGAAAAAAAGGTTATTGATCACCGTTGCTGATTAGCCATTTCTCATCCTTCACACTGCCGTGCTAAGGCAGAACGCCGTATGAACATTCCAGAGTTGCCAAATTTCCTCTCAGAAAATATTTCAGGGTGTCTACTGAAACAGTACACTAGAAACAAAAAACACATTGGATCTTGAGTCCAGACTCGTAAAAACGTCGACGAGAAAAATACTCTTGATTCAATCAGAATATAGCTTAAATCAAGAACCAAACCTCTTAATTTAACCGGATTTCATTTTGATTTAAGCAAAAATCTGATTGAGTCAAGAGTGTTTTCTCTTGTCAATGTTTTCAAGAGTCTGGACTCTAGATCTAATGTGTTTTTTTTTTCTAGTGTCTTTAGTCTTTTTCTTAGTGTCTCTTCTTCGAAAATCAATGCTTTTACAGTACTTTTTCGGTACATTCCCAAGAAATTCAGTGCCACCTCAACAGAAAAATTCAGTACTTATTCAGTACCTCCAGTGGACGAAATTCGAAAAATTTCAAAAATTTGACTTTCCCGCTCGAATTGTGATAAAGGTATAAAAAAAATCCGGACCCACTTGCAAAATTTCCGCACTTTTTCAGTACTTCCGGACCGCCCATAGAAAATCAACTACTATTTCCCACGATTTCCGGACTTTCCCGAAATTACGGACTTGTAGACACCCTGTATTTATCCTTGAAGATATATTTTCCCTTACAATTTTTAGACTTTTCAAATCAAATTACGAACAAAATTCTCTGAAAAATCGGTGGAGAAATAATCACAAATTTTCCTGGAAATTCGCGATTTGTTGGAGGAAATTTGGCAACACCTGAAGGCTCATACGGTGTTATTCCTCAGCACGACAGCATCCCTCGTTTCTCGCTCGACGAATGAATCCGATCCTCCCCTCCGGAGGAGAGAGAGACCCACTGGCAAAAATCAGGGTTGCCACAGAATCAAGAAAACGAATTTCCCTGGCATTTCCCGGATACATTTCGGTAAAATTTCCTGACAATTGAAATTATGCCAGATGGTTAAAAAAAAAACATACTTTGAAATAGGGTTCATTCGAAATTTGTTGTTCGAAACGGCAAACTCATCACAGAAAGCGATTGAAGGTGACTTGAACAATTTTTCCCTGACATTTTTGTCATTTTCACTTACATTTCCCAGTTTCCTCGGAAATCCCTGACTGTGGCAACCTCGAAAAATGAAATACAGCGCTGATGTGATGCTACGGAAAAACGCCGCATGAGCCTTCGGGCGTTGCCAGATTTCCCTTGCAGAACTACGAATTTTCCAGGAAATTTTTGAATATTGTTCTCCCGGTTTTTTAGAGCATTTTGGTCAAAAATTCCCTGGCTTTCCATGATTTTCCCGGTTTTCTACACGGAGAAAAAAACTTCGTGCGTGGGACCCGAAGTTTAGGTCTTGTGGATCTCTGAAGTTTCCGGATTGAGCACCTCAACACTTTAGGTCCAGCTGCTGAGATTTGGGTCACATATCTGTAACTTCAGTTCTTACATCTGAAGCACTTCGGTTTTCACATCCAAAAAACTTCGGTTCTCACATCTGAAGTACTTCAGATGTAAGAACTGAAGTTTCAGATGTGTGATCCAAACCTCGACAGTTAGACCTAAAGTGTTCAGATGCTCAATCCGAAAACTTCAGAGATCCATATGACCTAAACTTTGGGTCCCACGCACGAGGTTTTTTTTCTCCGTGTAGCCGCCGGCAACCCTGAAAACCACATCCCTGCACAGAGGCACGATTCTCTCCCTATTTACGGTGCAGCGATAAAGACGGGAATCTTGGACTACGGTCCCTTTCCCGGTGAACAATTACGGCTGAATCCGGGTTCCTGGACCCGGTGGAATTTCAGCGGGCGATCTGGCGAGGCTGGGGCTGGAGCCGGGATCCGCCGCGAGGAATCGGGCATCCGACTCGGCCTTGGCTCGCGCGCATTCCAGCTCCTCGCGCTGGGCGTCCCCGTTGCCCGCCCTTGCCGGATTCCCCGGATCCCCGCACCGGAACCGCCGGGTCCCTCGCCGGGAACGGCAACGCCGCCCCGCGTCCGTCCGTTCCCGTACGCTCCCGTTCCGGCTTCGGGGAACCTCTCCTCCGTCTCTCAAGGACGTCCTCAAGGACTCGCTCCGTGCGCTACGTGCCAATCATCGCATCTTATCCGTCACGGACGTTGCCCCCTCCCCCTCCCCCCCCNAAAAATTCTATCCCTCAGTTTTTGTAAGATGGGTCTGTTTGGATGGAGTACACTGGAAAAAAAAACACATTGGATGTAGAGTCCAGACTCTTGAAAACATTGACAAGAAAAAGGAGCCTGATTCAATCAGATTTAAGCTTAAATCAAAAGGAAATCCGCTCAAATTAAGAGGCTTGGTTCTTGATTTAAGCTTAAATCTGATTGAATCGAGAATATTTTTTCTTGCCGATGTTTTCAAGAGTCTGGGCTCTAGATCCAATGTGGTTTTTTTTTTTTCCAGTGTAGAGATGAAACTCCAGAATATGGACCTGATGGTTATCTAGCGAAAAATTGTACTCCTCCAGTTTTTGTTAGATGGGTTTGTTAAGATAGAGTACCTATATGGGTACCTATGTTTAGAACCCTAAAAGGGCAGCCAACCTATGGATTTAAATTATCCAGAGTGATTTACGAGAACTGTTATACCCGCCGATTGTAAAGCACGTTTTTGCATACGTTCACTCATTTTTGCGGAAGAATGCTCATTTATGAACATCCTTGGCCGTCTTGGTTTGAAATTGGAATCTGAAGATTGGCAACACTTGCAAAAAAAAACCTCTTGGACCAATGCCGCATTGCATTGACTTAAGAGTGCAGTTTCTTTTCGCCGGATCTAGGAGTCTTGAACTCTTGTTTCAAGCGGATTTTGCATTGAAACAAGAGTCCAGACTCTTAAATCCGGCGACAAGAAACTGCACTTTTGAACCAAGAGGTTTTTTTACCAGTGAAAGACATTTTTTGTGTTAGAAGGTTGGCTGCCCTTTCGGACCCTAAGAGCTCCATATTCCGACAAGTTTGTAGTCTCCCTGTATAGGTGCTCAAGGTCTGTTATATACAAGTGACGCAGGAAACTGAGGATGTCTTCTCAGTAAAATAGTAACTGGTAAGATGGTAGGTTGAGCTAGTCAAAGACTCGCGTTTGAATGATTAAAGCTCATCTGGTAGCAAAAAAAATGAGATGTATTCAAACGGCAAGCCTCTAATTCCGATATTAAAGTAGAGGGACTCTGCGGTTCAATCCCAGAAGATTTGTGTCCCTGCCGGCCTAGTAAGAGCTATCGAGAAAGTTTGAAGAAATGCAGCTCAGCAAAAACATACGGTAGGAACCTCATCTAAGCTCATCAGGTAACAAA